TAAGCGGTGGGGGACATCAATGATTGCTTTCTTGTTTTGCTGGTCCAATCAGATGTTTACAGCTTTGTTTTCTGCCTAGAAACTTGAACTTTGTAGTAGTCGGTATGAATAGAGGAAACTTGATTCGACTTGTCATAATATTTGTTGAGATGAAGTCGGTTTATTTGCATCTGTCTCAATAGTCGGTATCTTTGACAATCTCGGAAGTCGGTAATCAATTCTAATGAATACCGACTTGTCCTAAGTTCATCTTCTTCTGGAAGATTATTTCTTCAATGAAGTGATTAATCACCACCTTCAATTATATAATCAAGTCGGATATCAACAGCTCCTTTTTGGATATCAACAAAATCCTAGTGTCAAATAAATTAAATACCTCGGTATTTTGTAAGACTTTTTAAAATCTTAATTGAATACTTCAGGATTTTTAAAAGTCTTAAAAAAACTTAACAAATCTAAATTGAATAAAGTAGAATTAGTCTCCATTTGGTTAGGGAATGATATCAAACTAATTGTTTATGTATCAACATGTGTAAGTTGTTGGATTAAAAAAACATATATATGTTCTAAGTTGTTTTTGGTGGCCAATGCGCAGCCCGAAAAAATGACAAGGCCCGACTGTTAATCCTTTAACTTTGGTTATAATATATCCGAGTTCCGACCAAGGAGGTGGTATACATTATTATAAATTTATTCTAAATTTCTCTAATTACTATAATACCCCTCTCTGAAAAACAATGCGCCAACTTCAGAGATCAAATCTCATTTCATCTTTTACAACTTTTGCACATTTAGCTCGACTAGAGCAAACCACATCCCATAAATTCAAACTAAATGATGATGTCTCTTGCGGCAACTTCACTAGGATGCGATTGATATGAAGGCTACACTATCCCAATATGATGAATCTCTTGAGGAGGTATCCCATAGATGAGTTGATTTGAAAGTTGTGGAGATTTTCTCATTTTGTTTTTTTTTCTTTTAATATTTTTTTTTTTTGGATTCTTACTTTAGATAAAAGGGCGATTCCACCAAAGAATTCCGAGGTATGTAAATGAATCACAGATTTAATTAGATTAAGTGTTGGTAAAATCATGAATGCAAAAATGAAGTAGGGTTTTATAGTGAGAAACTATCCCAAAAAATTGCAATTAGAATAATGGAAATGGGTTTCATTCCACATATTATTGCAGAAGGGAATTGGATGTTGATTTTCAATGTTCTGTTGTGTATATATCTTTTGATATTCTCAATCTTTCAGTGCGTTTGTTCTAAACAATTAGTGTTATTTTTTTTACAGTACATGTTTCCTTTGAAGGAAATATTTTATCTGAGAATATAATCCTCGTGTACCTAAATTAGTTTATTATCTTTCCTTAATTGTTTCCTAGATTAATTGTGAATATTGGGTTGATTATTGTTTCCATATAATTTTAATTTGTATGTCTTTTTTTATCTCATTGTATTTCTTCATAGAAGCAATAGAGTAACACAAAAAAAGCTGTCAATTCAACAACACCAAGCAAGTGTGTGTTCTTTTGTGTCCGCGTGAGTTTTCTTATGTGTCTTGAGTTTTCGCTGTGATCTCATCGGCAACGGGGTATTATTTCTCTGGTGAGTTTCTAACAAGTGGCATCAAAGCTACTCGTGCTTGGGACCATGAGTGGGAAGAAGAACGTTGAAGACTCCTCAAAGGACGGCGTTGTGATCCACGAGTGATCTTTGAAGTGAGCAGCGGGAGTAGCTATCCTGTCTTTACCAAGACCAATTACTCCGACTAGGCGCTACTGATGAAGGTCAAATTGAAATCCAGGGCGCTCTAGGGCGTGATTGCAGACGGCGCCGCCGATCCAGAAGAGGAGATGATGGCGCTTGACGCTTTTTGCAACAAGGTGCCACCGGAAATGGTGAATATTCATCCATGATTTATCCAGATAGAGATAGTATTCACACCATTTCAAATCGTCTTATAGTAGATTAGCTAAATTATGATCAGAAGGCCTTTGTTGTCTAGCATGAAACACTTTTTATGAAAATGACTGACGAACAAAAAGGGGTGTATTAAAAAATCATGTCCGATGTTGATTCAAGTACCAGTAGTATATATGGTTATGGTGGGACAGGGAAGACGTACTTGTTGAGGACTTTGTCTGCGAGGTTATGAACAAAGGGTAAAATTGTTCTATGTGTGGCATTGAGCATAATAACATCTATTCTTTTGCCTAATAGAAGAACTGTACATTCTCAATTTCGCATATAGTTGAATCTTCATGAAAATTCATCATGTGAGATCAACCAGACAAGTTCTTTTGTGGAATTGATAATACATTTCTCTCTCATCATATGGGACGAGGCGTTGATGATATTGCTTCATTGCAGGCTATCATGGGAGCAAATGACTCGTCTAACAATAACAAGCCGTTCAGAGGAAAGTCTGCTGTGTTTGGTGGAGAATTCGACAGATCCTCCCATTCATTCCAAAGGGGAGTTATCATGACATTGTGAATGCAACTATAAATGCTTCCAACATTTGAAGGGATTTTAATGTACAATGTCTTACAAAAAATATGTCTTCAGAGCCTTTCTATTCAAACGAACTGGACGAGCTATTCGCGTTTGTTGATTTAATTGCGAGCATCAAAGATGGGACTATAGGAGGCTCAAATGACTATTGCGTCTCAATGACATATCATATGATATAAGACTAGGTCCCTCTAATTATCCAATTGGTACAATTATCGAAAGTACATATTCATTGTTTAAGAATGCAATTAATGAACCAAGTTATTTGAAGTATAGGCTATACTAACGCCGATGTTGGAGGTCATTGAATCTATCAATCAATACATGTAGGAAATGAATTCGGCTGAAGCACGCACATATTTGAGCTTTTACATTACGTGTAAGTCTGTTCGAATAAAGACGTCTTAGCAGATCTGCACACGCCGGAGTTCTTAAATAGCATCAAGTATTCGAGAACACCGAACCATGAGTTGCATTTGAAGATAGAAACTCTGGTCATGTTGTTACGGAACATGGATCATGCTATGGGACTATATAATGAGATGCGCTTGGTTGTGACTAAACTCTCCGTTCATATTCTCGAATGTAAGATATTGACATGAGATCACACAGGTGATTTGTGTTGATTCCTTGAATAAATATAACTCATTTCGTTGTTAGAATCCTATTTAAGTTCCAGTGGCGACAATTCTTCCTTATGGTTTCATATCCATGACCATAAACAAGAGTTAGGGTCAGTCTTTATTGCACGTTGGCCTATTATTGAAGAAACTGATTTTCAGTCATGACCAATTATGATGTTGTTTCACGTGTAACTAATAGAAAGAGGTTGAAAGTATTAGTTTGTAGTAATAACAAGTTACACGATAATCAAACTAGTAAGGTTATGTACAAAGAGATTTTTAATAATGTATGGTTTTTTTATTTTTCATGACGAACATTTTATGATTGGACAACTATCACATCTATGATAACTCTTTGTATATCGAATAACCTTCATTTTATAATGTTCATCAAAATAAAGTGAACACTAGCAGTATGTAAACTAAGCAGGACGAGGTTGTTTACATACTGCGAGTGTTCACACTAGGGGCGGTACCGTAATTACTTGGTTTGTTGCGTTCACACTTAAAGAGTTGGTTAATTTTTACATACTGCGAGTGTTCACACTAGGGGCGGTACCGTAATTACTTGGTTTGTTGCGTTCACACTTAAAGAGTTGGTTAATTACGGTACCGCCCCTAGTGTGAACACAGTTACTATTAGTCCAGTTAGCATCATAAAACAGTTTATAACTTATTAAGTTAACTTAGAAGAAATTTTATTAAACTAGTTTTCTAATAATCAACTACTAACTATTTGGCTAAAATTAACTTATTAGTCATCAACTATTTTTTT